GCCTTTCCACACTTTAACAACACAGCTCTTCTTCAATAAGTTTGGACCAATGTATCCTTTAAAATAATTCCCTGGTAAATTCCCAGCTATCTACTGTCATAGACATATGCGATTCATATAAAGTAGGAGAGAGAGAGAGAGAGAGAGAGAGAGAGAGAGAGAGAGTTTATTTAAAGCAATAAAGCAATTAGGTTGGAAGAATTAATGACTGACTTGAAGCTGTAAGATTTAAAATAACAAGGAGGGCAATTAGACCACAAAAATGGTCCCTCTGGAAGCCTAGCCAAGAAGGGTCAGGCCTAGCAATTAGATCAAATTAATCTTTCCAGGCCTAGCCTTTTGGAAAGGTAAAAATGTTTAGTTCCTGTAATTGAAAAATGACTTGGTTTTAAAACAAAACAAAAATGTATCTGTAGCAAACACCCCTGAAACATGAATACCTGGGGGCAGGGGTTAAACAAGTTAAACAGCTAAATTCTCACAATGTTCAAATGTGCTCATATCCAGTAAGGGATTTATTTCTATCATCACCTAAGAAAAGCAAAACCAACAGTCGTAAAGCAGCGCTGTTGAGAAAGGGGGAAAGGTACCCCTGGGCCAGGTGCCAGGCTCTGGTGGCATCAAGAACTCTGTAGCATGTTTTCTAATGGTTGGCTTGGTTCTTCTAGTGCAAGTCAATCTCATTGTCATATCCAAATTCTGCTGCATTCTTCCTGGTTTCACAGCAAAAATAGGGGTTTTGAAATTTCAGCCCAAGAATGTTCTTGAATTTTTTTTTTAAAAGTGTGGGGCTAGGGACTTAGCTCAGTGCCGCCACCTGCCTCGAAAGCGCAAGGTCCAGAGTTCAATCCCTGGTACCAAAAATAAAAAAAGTGTGGAGGGTAAGGGGTTTATTTTCTGGAAAACAAAAGTCAGTAACTTCTGAATATGTCAGCAAATTGGCAATTTTAGGTGAGCACCTTTCCTTGCTTAAAATTTGCTGCTAAACTGACATAAATCAAGGTGTAAATTCTAAGTCTGAGCAGATTAAATTGGGTGCAATGCCCTTGGATAATTTCGCTTCCAGCATCCAGGCCAGGAGCCCCATATTCTGAGCGCCCAGACCCAAGGCCCTCAGAAGGACTGTTCTAACCAAGACAGGGGCAGCAGAGGAGTGGGAAGGAGCCAGTTGCCCAGATTTCCTCCTGGCTCTTCCTCTGGCAAGATATCTGAAAACCCTGTGCCTCTGTTTTCTCATCCATAAAATGGGTCCAATAATAAATAGCACACGGCCTGACCTCATTGGGCTAATGTGAGGACTAAATGAGTTAATCCATACAAAATGCTTATAATGTGGATGTGTGGCACAGAGTTGGTAAATGCTAGCTACTGTTACTGTATCATTATCTTTGTGAGCTGGCTTCCTGAGATCTGGCTCAATGCTGCAGCTCCTACGAATGAATGTCCCTCCCTGGCCATGATATGTCAGCTCTCCTAAACAGTTACAGCAGTGCACCCATAAAAACATTTGCTTACCCTTGAAACTAGGTTCCTAGGACCTGAGTAGCTAGATACGGAAAACCTTGGAACAAAATGACCTAATCCCTAGGCACCACAGAGTTTCAGGGATTTGGAAGACTCCCTTGCTCTCTTATCTAAAGATTCAAATCAACAGAGCTGTAGTTGTAAGAGTAAACAGAACAATAGAGATAAAAATATCAACTTTTTCTGGGTAACTTGTTGGAGACCAGGCTTTGGGGCAGTGAGCTGAATGCTAATGCTTCAGTCCTGTTAGACAGACCCACCGGCATAGGCACTGGACCCTCTAAATTGGCCTGGCCCTCCCACTAACCCCACCAAAGGGATCTGCTCCTGTAATATCCATGGCATAGAAGAGCAGAACAGAATGTACTCTCTGCACACAGGAAGAGCCCAAACAGAAAGTGAGGAAGGGGTTTCTGGGCCATTTACACCACTCCCCACCCCCACTCCCACCAATTCACCAACCAGAGAAATCTTCTTGGGACAGGGGTGTAAGCAAGGGAACCAGACATTTAGGGTGCTAGTTTTCTGCTGTCCCTCTAAATGAAAATGAGAGAAATGTAAGCATTTCACCCCATCATGTGACCACAATAAAAGGCTACTTCTGCCGTATCCAATATGGCGGCCACAAGTCACATGTCATCATTTAAACCTAAATTAATTACAATTCAAAATTCAGTTCCTCCATTGCATTAGGCGTATTTTGAGCGCTCAGTTGCCACATGGGGTTGTTGGGTATGACATTGTGTAAAACAAATACAGAACCTTGCGCTCAGTTCAAAAAATTCTATTGGACAGCACTTGGATGTCATGAGAATTTGTCTGAATGTGTGACTCCTATTTAAACCAATGTTAACAATGTGCCCCTGTGGAGCTGATTTTTGGGGGACACAGACTTCACTCCTGCTTTTCTGAACTCATCCCACCCAGAATTTGACAAATGAAGATACTAGGGTATAGTATTAGTGAACAAATGGGACCAAGCTAATATTTACTCCCATTAGGGCTTTCCATGAGGCTCCTTTTCTTTCAATTCTTGGGGGTTTTTTGTCTTTTTAGTGCATGTTTGCACTACATAATGATTGCGTCCATTGTAAGGAGTTTGTACGTGTACAGAACACATCTTAATACGTTTTATTTCCCTTCCTCTCCTTTCGCTCCCCTTCCCTCCATCCCTTGGTCCTCTCTGAATCTGCAAAGTATCTCCCCGTTTCCTATTATGTTTTTTATTTTGTTCTTCAATTTATTGATACTTTGACTTTCTCATATAAGAGGAACCATGTGTTTATTTAAGCTTGTGTGGCTGATTTATTTCACTTAACATTATGGTCTCAAGGTTCATCTATTTTCCTACAAATAACTCAAATTTGTCCTTCTTTATGTTAGAATAGTGCTCCATTCTGTATAAATACCAAATTTTCTTTATCCATTATCTGTGGATGGACGAACAGGCTGCTTCCAAGATTTAGCTGTTATGAATTATGCTGCTCTAAACATGGGTATGCATGGATCACTGTAATATGATGTCTTTAACTCTTTGAGGAAGATACCTACAAGGGGAATAGCCAGGTCACATGGAATTTCTCGTTTTAGCTTTTTGAGGCATCTCCACACTGATTTCTCCATAGGGGCTCTTAACGTTATTTTTATGGAATACATGAAACGGAAACATATCTAGCATTCCCCCTGAAACACTCAATTCCAAGTAAATTTTTTAAAACTGTACAATATATTTTAATTAATTTCTCCTAGCACCATTTGGAATAAAACATTGGTCAAAGGTATTTGAACGTGCCCCCTACAAGAAAGCTAAGTTTATTAATTTAGATGGACCAGAACTTTCATTGTAATCATTCTATAATAATTTTCAGGAGAGTAGAACTAAAATAAGTTCCCTGTAGCCCTTTCTTCTTGAAGAATATATTCTGAATATATGTATGTGATTTTTTTTTACTTAATCAGAGTATAAAGATCTCCTCCCATTGATACAGAACACCCTGAATTTTGAGAATGTCTTCAATTTTTTTTCCTGCCTTCTTTCTTACAAGATTGACACTATTTATTCAAATAGCTCTTAGAGAAGGCCCTCTATGACCCACATGGCACCAGATGTTAGAGACCAAGCAAATCAATGTGCACTTTGCCCTGCAGGATCTTGTCATTGGATCTCAGCTCAGACACAGATCCCAGCGGGTGAGGGCTGGAAGGGAAGCCATGCAGCACCCAGCCTGGATGCAGGGAAACCAAGGCAAGGGAGGCAAAGCGTTTGACTTTATCACTGGAGGATCCAGGAGCAGTGCCTTCACCATCTGCCACCGTCCCACCCACAGGGAGTGTTCGTCTGACACTGCCACCGCCTCGTGTGGCATTCTTAACCTTTAAGGAGCTGGAAAACTTGTTAGGTGAGTAATTTAAATTGCTTAAAATAAAAATAAATAGCTCCTGGGGAGAACCTGGCAGACTGTGCGGGACAGGACGTAGACTCCTCTGCTTCTGCTGCCCTGGCACCTTCCTGCTCCTTTTTGGTTCTCATCTATTTCCCATAGCATTGAGGTTGCCAGGGAAACACGCATTCCTCCACTTTGAGTGGGAACTCTGGAGAATGGCCTGTCCCTGAGTAGCTCCTTCGCCTGGGCTCCTCCGGGGAGTCGCGAGCATGGAGCTCAGGACAGAAGGTGCTTTGGAAGTAAATTCGGAAGATTCTTAACTGGGTTGCTGTTCCTGTAAATGGATCTTAGGGCCACAGTTTTTTTCCTGTCATAAAATGTCAGGAAATGTCTCAGGTTTAATGAACAACATTTGATTCACAAAACTACATTCGGCATAAAAATTTCTATAAATAATCTAATATACATTTGAAATAAACTCTACAATAATTTGAATTTTTAGGCTCTGATCCACACTGCTTTTGTCCTCCTAAATTTAATTTAAACTACAATTAGCTGCATACATTTCACTGATCGAACTGAATTTTTATTGAGGAACCTATAACATCAGTAGCTTAAAATATAAATTATAGTGCATTTGGTATGCAAAACAGGACCTCATTAATATTTATTAACTTAGCACAACCAATAAATATTTTCTAATTATTCAGAAAGGAACATAGTTTCTCTAACTTACAATTTTTCTAATACACTGCAAATTAATAGTGTTGATTATAATATTAAGGAATAGTATTCAAAATACTTGAAAACAAACTTTTTAAGGTACTCAGAGGCATTGTTAAAACTCTGTGAAGTGTTTGACATCCTAATTTAAAATTACACCTGTCTCTAAAAGGTCCCTAAGGAAATAAGGTGATAACGACCCAGTCTCCTCTGACTTACCATGGTACTGAAAACGTAAGTTAACACACACTGCTGCCCCCTCCTGCATTGCTCTAGATTAATATGGATTTACTAAATTTGCAAATGTAATTCATTATATCTGATAATTTTAATCTGAGATAAATTTTATAAGCAATATCAAATACTCACAGCAACAAACTGGTTATTTTCCAATTTAATGATGTCTCCCACTTTGACATTCATCCATTTTTCATTCTGCAGTCTGAGAACAAAAACAAAGTTAATTTTTTTCAAGAACGGGGAAGAACCAAACCTATAAGGAAATGGATTCCTACACGTGGTGACGTCACGTGACATAAGAGGCAGGGAAGATGGTGATGGGATGTCAAGTTCCTTCCTATCAAAGTTCTTTCCCTGAGCAGCCTGGAAACAATGCCTGGAGAGGCTAAAGGACTTCTCATGAGCAGCCGGTGAGTCACCCACACCTTCGGTGGAACTCTAAATGCCTAACTCTTGGCTGTGTACTCTTTCACACTGTCCCACAATACCAGTTGTATACAACAGCTATGACCTTTCATAAATTTGGCCACTGACATTCTTTTCAAACTCTTTGTAATAAACACAGAAACATCACTGTCACTGTCTCAGGCAAAAACTGAACGAGAAGACAGTTGCAGACAGAAGCCCTGAGAGACTGACTGAGCAAGACCACAGATGAACTGTCCAGCACGTGGCTGAAGGAGGCCCCAGTGGCTCAGAACAGACCACGGCCAGGCAACAGGCCACACGGTCTCTCTGACATCCGTGTGGATAACAGAGTCCCACATTTGGAGCCCCAAGTTCAAAGGGGTTTATGGTGCACAATGGCTGTGTCCATGGGACCCACAGGCCCTGTGAAAACAGGGCCCCCATCACAGGACAGCAGGACGCAAATGGTCTCCTGTGAAACTTCCTGAAATGGAAGCCAGCCTTGTTTTCCAAATTGGAAGCCTTTGCTAAGCTTCCTTCTCAGAGATTCCTGCTTAGAAGAGCAGGCAGGGATGGGTGGATTAGAAGGGAAGGCAGCCATGGGCAGTCCAGGTTTCCCCAATCAGGTGGGCAGGCTAATTTCACTGGGTTTTTTCCCCAAAAATAACCTAATTTACTTTGTTTTATAGCCTGGAAAACAATTTTAAATATTTATACAACTGTGAAATATGCCTCACACTATCAACCCTGCTGGGTCATTTGGCTTAAACACTCAAATAATTTTTCTCTAATAAGGATCCAAGTACATGTTGTTCTGGAAAATTTTCAATGGCAGCATTTTTATCCCAAGCCAGAATTCAATCACTTTTCCAAGCCTTGCTTTTCTGGGCTTTATCTCCCTCGATGACAACAGGAAAAACTAGGAAGCCTTGTAAACCTCATTTTGTTTGTCTTTATAGGTATGGATTCTGTGCTGGTTTATTTCTCCTGGGGAGGCCTGCTTGGGACCATTAGAGACATTTCTCAAGGGACAGTCTTCGGGAAATAGGATGGGTGGATGGATGGGGGAGGATACTGGGTCTTATTTACAGAAATTGTGCTGCTACTGAATTACCCTGAAGTCTTGTAGAACTGCACTTGTTTGGGGAAGAAGCTGAGATGATATTTAGTGCCACGACCCCTCCCACTTGACACTATCGTGAAGGGAGGACTGCACCGGAAACAGCAAGTGATATTTCCTAGATGATGACCAAGAGCCTAGCACAACCCAACCGCTCCACCAGTAACCACCATGGTCACACAGACGTGGGTTTGTGGACGGAACCCTAGCAAGAAGTAGCACGAGCTTTACAAAGGGAGTCTAATGGAAAGTCATCTTACGACTTGACAAAGATACAGAAACTGGATGAAGAGCAAGAAAAGTACAAAAGAGACTACTTTAGCAGGGAGAAAGTAACACTCTTAAAATGTAATTAGAGCTGTACAGAAAAATGGATGGAGATATTGATCTGACACAGGCTATGCAACGTGTCTCTGTTAACCCCTTACTTGAATATATTCCTGTGTACAATACAATCAGAGGCATGGGCTTTGTGATCACATTTCCGATTCTGCCTTACCAGATGTATACAATTGCAATCAGCTAGGAGCTCAGAAGTATGTAATGAGCACTGAGGACCAGAACTATGGAAAAACCCAAATTTACAGCCAGCAAAAACTTGTGCAGACCTGCCAATGATCTTCCATCATCTCTATTTTGAAAGTAACCATTTCTCTTGCCCTGCCCACTACCACTGACAACCAAAATCATCAAAGACACCCCTGCAGGATGAGAGGAGCAGACAGTAAGATTTGTGTTAAAGCTCATCTTCAAATTATTTCTGGGCTTTTGAGATTTTAACTTGTGTAGTGATTGGGTTTCATCATCAGTTTGAAACAATGAAAACAGACACACCCTGGCACCCCATGTGCTGCGCAGATGTTTGGAGGCTCAAGTTTGAAGCATCCCACACCACATGGCTCTGCCGAGAGGACAAGGTGGCCTCATGGGCTGTGGAAGGTGACACTTGGCCCCAAGGACTCAGCACCTTTGAGCTTTGCCTTCACCTTTGTCAGAGCAAGGCTCCTGGCTCGTGAAGGTGAATTGTAGTTTGGGAATATTCTGCAAACAAGTTCATTCATTAATTGCGCTGAAATTCCAAGATGATAAAATGTGGCTCAAGTTTCAGTATCATAACAGAATCACTGCATGTTATGAAACAGACATAATCTAGTTAGTGCTTCTTTGAAGCAGATTTTTAAAAACTAGATGGGGTAGTTAGATGGCCTTTACCTTAGTAAACTCACAAGCTGATTGGTAAACAAGTAAAACTCAAGAAAAAGGTAGATAAAAATTTACATTGCAAAGGCACTCTAAAACATAGGGACTTCAACTGCCCCAGAATGGCAAGTAGAATTGCCTTAAGGAAAGAACTGTTTTAATACAGCCTCTGACTTGTGCATCTTCTCTTCAGAGCCTCCAAGAGTCTGAGAGCAGTGGAGAACAGTGAACGCTGCTGCCCTTGGTGACTTCTGACCAATCCCTCTGAACCTGTGTTGTACAGTGAGGCAGGTGCACCGAGAGTGCCAGGCCTGGAGGGAAACCTCCCAGAGATAACGCAAGTGTGGACTTGGGTGCCCACCTGTAATCCCAGCATTCAGGAGGCTGAGACAGGAAGATCGCCGGGGGTTGGAGGCCAGCCTGGGCTACAGAGTGAGTTCAAGGCCAGCCTGAACTACATAGTGAGGCCCTGTCTCAAAGAGAGGGAAGGAGGGAGAGGGAGAGAGAATATGCAAGAGAATATGCATAAGAGTGGGAGTGGGCTAGCACCTAACTCTCTTCCACATCTTGAACTTCTGGCTCTGGAGCTTGCCTTGACCAAGACACCAAGCCTAGGGACAGATAGGGGGACATTCAGCACGCTTCTCCAGATTCCTGTCATCTTTCCCACACTCCAATGCTCCTGACTTCCTGCTAGCAACACAACTTCCTGAAGAAGAGGATGTCCTGAAAAGTCTCAGCCAGCGGAAGGGTCCGGGCCCTGGAGACAAAACGCCCGATACCTGATCCTGAGCGCCTCCCTCTGGCCACGCTGCCCACTTACACCAAGCGCATGTTGTCTTTGGTCTCCACCGAATGTCGGTCCTGGAACAGACGGAGCCCTCCTGGCCCAGATGCCCCGTGTGGCTCTCACTGTGTCCTCAGGACTTAGTATAATGCCCAGCTCAGAGTAGCCACTCAGTAAATATTTACTGAACAATAGATAAACCAGGGAATATAAAATGAATTCTTCCCAAAAACATTTGTTGACCAAGAGCATTTTCCTGAATGCCTAGGAAGAATTACAGCAGACAGCATTATTCAGTGCTGGCTGCCTTCCAGGGGTTGGACTAACTCTTTCATGAATGGAGTTGCCAAGTGGAAAATGAATACCACCCTATTAAATTTGCGTTTCAGGTGAACAAGAAATTATTTTCATATGTGTGCCCCATGCAACATTTGAGATATACTTATAGTAAAAGGTTATTATTGTTTATCTGCTATTTGAACTTAACTGGTCATATTTAAATTTGCTCTATCTAGCAACTATATGTGTATCTTATCTCACAGTGATCCTATGAGATAGGTACTGTTTCTACCTTCATTTTATAGACTAGAACCCTGAGTTTTAGAGAAATTGGTATTGCTGTTTTGCAATATCCATTAGAAAGCAAATGTCCACACAGTTTGACATTGATATCCCATTTTAAAGAACTGATTAGACAGGTGTTTAAACATGCACACACAAGGATGTTTATTGCAGCATTGTTTATAGTAGTCCATTAGACAACACTGAAAAGAAATCATTTAAAATTAGATGGAACACTTTTTCATTCACAGTTCATCTACTTGATGGAGTATAATGCAGTGATGAAAAAGAAAAGGTGGTACTGATATGAAATGTGTTCTAAACTGTGCTTTCAGGTTAAAAAGAAGCACAGAAGAACACCGCATGTGCATGGCAAGGTTCATTCTTGAAACAAGGGTATATATAACTACACATAGATATGATTTTCCACGGACAGAAAACTTCCTGAAAGACACAAGAAACTGTGGAGTGGTTGGCCTTAGAGAAAGGAAATGTGGTGGGAGCTTGGAGGGAAGAGAGACTTCATTTCCATTGTATTCTCTGTTGTGATGTTCAACTTTCAGTATTACGTAAATTGGCCTTTTAAAAGCAAATTTGGGAGAGAAATAAAGAGATGAGAACTTTTCTTTTAGGCCGCACGTGAATGGCAGGGCTGGGACGGGAACCCATGTCTGTCTGATTACAAAGCCCATGTTGCCAGTAAATCTGTATTTACTGTTCTTTCCACTTTATTCTCTACAGTAATTGCGTCCTGCTGTTTTGAAAGAGAATGGCCCTCAGGAGCAGAAGAGACCCGATGGAGGCAACAAGGGTGCACACTTGCAGCCTTTAGACCAGCACCAGCGGGGCCAGGAAGCTCACAGCCAGGCCCCTGACTCGAGTGCTCCTGGAGGGCAGGCTTCTGGTTCTCTTCAGCCCCAGCTCTGTCAGCTTTGCACCGGGGAAAAACCCACAGCTTGGCCCTGAGCCCTCACGACAGGCCAGAGAGCAGATCGCATGGTGTTGAGAATGAACACGATGCTCGCTCGGAGCTCCGGAGCGATTTACTTGGAGGAATGCAGACGGGCGCTTCCTTCTCCTTTCTTCTCAGCAAAATGCTTGTGCTGAGCCCAGATCGCACCCGGAG